CTAATAGTAACTGACTAGTTTGCATAATCATATGTTGATTGTTTGAATTAAAAATCTACTTTAATGATGTAAAGATGGCAACACTACAAAAATTGTGCCCATGTCCACAAAGTTACAGGCTTAACTGTATTTGCTGTAGACGAGGGGGAAACGATATCATCAACAATTATTGTTCAACAATATTATGTATTTGGAGAGCTATAAATAATAATTATAACAAAAGTATTTTCTTAATGACTTACAGAATATTCTCTCATTTAACAGATCAATCACTTATAGACAGTGAAAAGCCTGCCTCATAAAAAAATCCAGAGTTAATAATTATATACCGAAGGCAATGTGTAAAATCCACAAAATCTGAGGTTTTGAAAAAGCATTTTTAGAGAGATAAATTAACAACAGCTTCTCTCTGCTTCATCCTCTCTGATAAAATAATTGTATACTTGAAAGTTAAAGTATTTACATGGGTATTTATGTGATATAAAGAGCAGCCTCAGTCCTCACATTTCATTCATTTTAATTGGCTTAATAACCATTAAAAGGAAATGGACCAGAGCTTAATTAAATCAAACTGCAAATAGCCCAGCATGATAACAAGCCCACAGGTGGACTCCCATGGGAAGCTAATCAGGATGTATTGCACTGCATGGTCACACACCCAATCAGAAGCACGTACTCGCGTAATAATGATTAAAAGGGACGCAACAACAAGGAGAACTTTTCTGCCACTTACAGAAATTACCTCACCGACAACTAGTCTGAAAACATTTCCATCATACTATAATTTTCTTGATGGGATAATTTCTTGTGTGTCCTATGTAAAAAAACTGGAAACATTTCAGTTTTACAGATGTTATGATCAGTTTAATAAATGGAGCCTATAGTATCCATAACTTTCGAGGTCCTTAAGCTACCCCCACATTGCTTATTTCATATAAAAAGACACTACAGATAATTGCTTTTGTTGGGGACATTGCAGAGTGGAACAGCATATAAAATATGTAAAACATCTGTTCCTATACTTGTGGAGAGAAAAGCTGCTGCACTCTGGAGGGAATTTTTAACTATCATACTTGAAGAGGAGCCAGGAAGCTCTCGAGTCCAACATCTATTCTCAAGTGGAAAACTAGGCTACTAGGGTTTACTGCCAAAAATACATAACTTTTTTGCACTAGTGAACCTCTCATGCAGCCCGAACACATGGTTTACAACCAAAGACAGTTTCTCCAACAAAAATGAGGATGAAAAAAAAACAAACAAAAAAAAGTTAGTGGGGTGTGCCAAAATACCACTTAAAAACAACCCTCTCTACATTTGGGGGCTCCATATTCTCCCGCACCAAGTTGAAAGCGAACACCAAACTGGAAACAGATGTTGAGCAAGTGAGAGCTAATTCACGCTGGTGCGTATTACATGTTTTTATCCATACTCTGTGTCTCCTGCGTCGTCGTTGTCTTCCCTGGCCAAACACAACGAGAGGGGGGTTGGATAAACGGCAGCAGAGCTGCGGTGGTCGAAGTGGAAAACTATGGTGCAGTAATCTCTAATAACTATGGAGCAATGATGAACCTACAGCAGTGTTTAAGTCAGGAAATGCTAACTGATGACTCATCCAAAAGGGGGGCAAAGGTCACAAAAAAGCACAAACAGAGACAGGGCTATATTGTTACCTTGCTCAGACAATCATGGGAAATGGATGTGAATTAGATTAACAGAATAAAACACAAACTGGAGTTTTTTGACAAAAAGTAACGACAACCTTTGTCGAGTTCTATGTGTTGTATCACATCTGCCCATACAGTGGTGTTTCCTACTCACAGATTTTACCTCATCACATACATTTGGTGACACATTTAAAAACAATCCTCTTGCTCTCATTCTGAAAGTTCAGTTGCTGCTAGCCAACTAACACCGACCATTCCTGTCTCATGTTACCAGCTGACTCATGGGCCAGGTTGCTGTGGCGGCCCTCAATATGATTCAGCTTTTTCTACTGCAAGTCTCTCATCCCACAACCTCCAGCCCCGCCAGTCTGAGCTGCAGCTCAGCTCTGGAGATCCACTGTCAGCTGGATGCATGGGCGTTTCCATAAGTTTATAAACCAGGGTGGGACAGAGCGGGCTAAGAACAAAATAGAGGTGCCGAAAGGAAATCAGAATATTTGATGAGAAATACAATCAGTGTAAAAAAATTGGGTGCTGCACGAAAGTTTAAACGTAACTTTATATTTGATAATTGTTTGTTTGTTTGTTTGTTTGATTGTTTTGCAAAGTGGAAAAAAAGTATGCTGGCTTTTTACTTAAGTAAAAGTTAGAATCCTGCTTAAGCAGCTTAACAGTGCACAGGCTGTAATATCAAAACACACTGCCCTGACCAAAAACAACCCCCCACAATCTCTAATATTTCATTGGATCACCTTCAGCATTTGGTGTGCTTATGTCAAATGCCTGAGTGTGTCAATGTACCATTTCCACCAGGGAAGAAAAAAACTGGTCACTCAATATATTCAGCTATTCAACTGACCTCAATTTTTGGGTGGTACATGATGATGCTGATCCCACACCTAGACCAAAAGTAACAGTATCCTAGACCAATGTAAGGCTCTTACACGTTGCTAAGTAAAATCCAGGTGTTGACCCAAACTAAATGTGTTTACCATTTAGAATGGCACTTGTCCAAATCATTATGACTTTAATGTTGCAGCTGTTGACTTATTATATTTCATAGTTTGATCCATAGTAATGCAATGCTTTGGTTTTAGTGTGGATTATAAAGCTGGCATCCAAAATGTAGAACAGTAGAAGCACCAAGCAGCATAACATAGAAATAACTGGAGAAAAAAACCTGCTAGAAAACTACTACGAGAAAAAGTACTATAGTGAAATCATTGAGTTAAGCACTAAGTTACGCTCCTACAGGTTCTATCCATGATGTCCTTCAGTGGTGCAAGATTACATGTACTCTGGTCAAACAGCACCGACATCGGTGGCACCGGCAAGTTCAGTGCAACCGATGGCAAGTTCAGAAGTCCTGGAGGAGAAACTCACTGCTTGTTGTTTATTTGTCACAAACTAGGCCTAGTACTTTGCCTGCTGCATCCAAACCCCTCCAAGAATTCCCTCAATAAAAGTGATAACTTTTATACTTTGGATAGGGACAGGCAGAGAAGCAGAGTTATTTACATTTAAACAGACAGAACGAGAACTACTGTAAAGTCTAATGATTCATTTTGACTTTAGGTTAATGTTTTACAGGATTAATCAACAGATTCTTTGGTCTCCAGAAGTCAGAAAAAGAGCACCTTTTTAAAGCCCAAGGTGACCCCAAACAAGTATATATTCATCAAACGTCATCTAACTGATCAACAGATTACCACTTTCCACATCTTTTGTGCATTTGTTTTTTGGAATAAAGCAAGGACAAGGTAATGGTGTCATTTAGGTGCTGTAACAGGTGCCGCAGCAAAGTTACAGGTCAGAGAAAGGTCAATCACACACCACCTGCACACCGCCTCAGTGCCGGGAAAAGCAAAGCTCTAATTAAGAAAAATAAGTGCCAAGCCTTTTTATACTGCTGCAGCCTTGCAATGAATTACCTTAAAAGATGCTCGGACCTGGCGCATGATGATGACTGTTATTTACTAACATAAATAAGAACAGTCAGGCAAGTCTTGTATACAAATGAGTGACTTTCAGTATTTCAGATTCTGCTGGATATACATCGCAAACAAAGCCTCTGCACTCCCACTGAACAGTTTCCTTTCTTTGTTTGAAAAACTGCCTCGCTGACATAGAAAACTTCAAACTGTATGCAGTGACTCAGCGCTCTGTTATCCACAATCAATGAAAGCAAACGTAAGTGTGATGACGCAAAGAGGTGAGGGCTTCAAAGCCTGTGGCAGCATGCAGCACCTCGAACACCTCAAATACCAATGAGCTGACACACTAAGCAGCACACCAGTTAGAGCGCTTTAATAGTAATAATGGGTCCAATTTAAAACAGTGAGTAAAAGGGAGCAATCGTGGTCACACAGCCTTAAACCAGGCAACAACGACCGACTAGGAAATTTCCCCTTTGTTCAGCCCTATGAATACAATCCTAAAGGAAATGCTCAGTCTCAGAAAAACAACAACTGCAACAACAACTTTCGAACATCTGTTCCTCGTTTTTGTGAGAGAGGATGTTGCAGCAGCAGCAAGGGAGCGCGAGGGGCTGTGCAGGGAGGAAGAGGGAGGAAGAGGGGAAGATGCTTTTTGTCTCAAAACACTGGACAGTTCAAGGCCACTGTTAGAGGAGGGAGGTGAGAGCCATTTTTACACAAATTTCAGAAGAAGTGTGTGTGTGTGTGTGTGTGTGTGTGTGTGTGGTAAAAGAGTTAAACTTTTCTTCAGGGAGTGACACAG